TATATATATATATATATATATATATATATATATATATATATATATATATATATATATATATGCAATCCATGCATTTATGCTCGACTGTAATTACTAGATGAGTTATTTTTCTTTCAGTTCATTCCAATGATTTTTTTTTAATTTGAATTCATAATGATAGGGTAGTGATGAGTAAACAACGAAGACTTCTTCATATATTTGGTATTTTGCAAAACAAACTGATATTTAGTCTCAAGTGGTTGTGCGGAGACTAAATTGCAGTCTTAGCATGCGCATGCGCGTGATCACGCGCACACAAACAAACACGCACACATATCGGGGTGCGGTATTCAACGTTTTTTTTTTTGTTTTTTTTTCAGGAACCAGTTTTCTATTCCTTTAAATCACAAATCATTTTATTATCACATGAAATTTCTTTTTTTTTTTGTTATGTAACGTTTGTGATCATACCTCTCCACAGCATCCTCTCCTTTGTTGCTCTTAGTAATACTTTTTTAGTATATTTCACTCCCTACTCTTCCGTCTATTTACACCCGCTTATTAGTTAGGTTACTTAAGATTTGCCTTTATCCTTCTTTCTTTCATTATACTTTGTCAATTTCGAATTCTCCAAAACCCTTTTCCTCATGCCTATCACTTTTCGATATTATGTAAAAGAGTCCATTTTTTTTTTACATTTGCATTAAAATTTCTCTTTTCTAAAATGCTGTGTTCATAGTATTCGAGGCATCCTTCAGTATAGATATATATCTGTTGCCTCAAGACTCTTCATATGGGAAGAAATTGCCCAGCATTGACTGCTAAGTAGAAAGTTTGATCTCATAAAATATTTCAGCCGATAACCATTTCTCCGTTTTTACATCACTTAATTTTATGAAGCCATAGATATTTATTATGTATGTACACAATTATGTCCGGTAAAATGTCTCTCTCGTCAATATGTATATTGTTATTGTTCTTTAGATGCCAATCTTCCATATAGATAGGAAGAAGAAAACTATTTTGTTTTATAGCTCACTCCTATCGGTTATCTTGCTTAGTGTTGTGGATTCCGGGATGAAATCCGGTCTCAAATGAATGACAAACGCAGGAATGAAATATAACAAATAAGTGTATTTACACAATAATACAATTGGTAATATGGTTAGTAGATCCAGAAACGCGGTTAGTAGCAATAATAATAATAATATATATATATATATATATATATATATATATATATATATATATATATATATACAGTCTGGTAAATTCAGTCTCGAAGTAGGACTTCCTTAGAGTCTACGTGTTCGTAACTGTGACTTCTACAATCGGTTACCTCACACTATTACTCTACCTCCAACTCAATCACTCTCTCTGCCTAACTGACTCTGATTCTGAGTATTTAACGGCAGTAGTGCAAATACACACCGGTCGAATCCACTTGTATGAAAAAGGGATGGACCCCATAACACTTAGGTTACACGCCGTGACATCATTAGAATTCTCTCTGACTGATTCAAAAAAAAGACTGGTATTTACCCAGTCTCCCCACGAGACGAGACGAGATGTGGCACAAAGTTTAGTGTGGAGACCTAAATTAACAGGAGATAACTGATAACTGATATCTATTTAAAAACATGGCAAGTGGAACTAGAAAAGTCTACCCCAGTGAGCGAAATAAATGATTCAGTTCGACATTCCAACCACCTGAAGAAAGCCAGAGCGTACAATGGCCGAAACGTTGTGGTAAATATGGGGACAAAGTTGGGGACAATAGTCTGAATAATGTAAATAATTTACATAATACCTCATCTCAGAAATATAGACAGATAACAAAAATCAAATATTTCTCAATTGACATTAATTGGATAAAGATCTGGACAAAAGCTAATGTACTTCATACTTTAATCTTAGAGTTATAATAATATATATCCACACACACACACACACACACACACACACACACACACACATATATATATATATATATATATATATATTCCTTCAGTTCAAACCTTCAAGCTAGGAGGCGCCAGAAAACGAATCATCTTCATTACCTTCATAAAAAATATGTGAGTCCGAAATTCCATACAGACTGTTTCTTCTTTATGAGACGGACTCCCGTGATGACGCTTCCCTATCGCATAGGTCAATGAAGAAGTGTCCTGGTCTCAAAAATCACTTCGAGTCACTTTTTAACCCTGACCTCATTCCACTAAAAGATGCACGCAGAAATAGAATATGCACTAGTATACATCTGGGTATTAAACATACTGCTACCAACCGTAAACAGTAACGAAACTAGTGGTGAGGTAACCAATAAAGTTATACAGTAACAGTAAAGAATAATAAAGAATTGAAAGACAAGTTTCTTAGTTCCATGAACGAAGGATGCATTCAAAAGTGCACACAAAAACACTGGGATATATCGGGCTTCAATGTCGTCTAATGAGACTAGTGGAAGAGATTTGAGGAGACTGGATGTCACAATGTCCAGCGGTAACAACAAGATATCGACTGTCAATATACTAATGCGTATAATAATAATAATAATAATAATAATAATAATAATAATAATAATAATAATTTCTGATTGATATTACAGTCAGAGAAAGCCAGCGCGTCTTGTTTTGATGTAAGAGTTTTTCTTCTTGGTCTGTTGAGATTAGACAGTTGCCGATCGATAATATCAATGTGCAAACACGGTTGGTCTAATGTTGATTGAGGTCAGTGTTTTCTCAGCTGAGAAGTGATATCAAGTGTTGAGTCTTATAGACAGTGACATGTATTACAATAGAACTAAAATAGGAATGTTTATTTTTAGAAAAATGAAATAACTTTGTTGCCGAACTGTGGTTAGAATTTTAAGATGACAGCCCGCGGAAAGAGACCCATTGTTATTCATATGCTTTTTATGATAATTTTGAAAAAAAAAATCATCTAAAATTGTGT